GCGTCTCGTTTCTCTTCATTCGTTCGTCTCAGAGACACATCAAACATCTTTGGATAGAAATTCATCAGTTCTGGAGAGCGATGCCTGCTGTCCTACCTAGCATAGATTTCCAACGTTGAACGCTCCTACATTAACTCGATGGAAGGGTTTTTACGAGACTGGGAATGAGCTTCCGATGGCTTTGATCATTGACAATGGTCGCAGAGTGAGAGGTGGGGGAAGGCGCATGAGGCTCAATATTCATATTGGAAGGTGAAGGGAAAGGAGGAGACAGAGTTGAGGAGAATATGTTATGTTTGATTGGGTCCTGTGAAGGTGGTTAACACTTCCCACACCATGACAGGCTAGTAAATCTTGGAGGACTTGAAAAAGAAGGGATGGTGTGATTGCAGAGCCCATGAGACATCTGCTTGAGCCTGGTCAAACATAGTTTTCTGGCAATTTTAAGATTTTGGTTTTCGCTTCTGAATCCAACCATCAATCCTGGTTCCAGGCATCAGCATACCACGAGGGAGCGAGACTGTGCTACTTTAGGGATCGACATTTCCTGAGTTCCCCTTCTTATAGGAAAGGGAGCATCAGTGTGGCATTGCTAGTTATCCAAGTGAAACACATTACTGCTGTCACACCCCATCCAGCTAGCAGCACCACTAATTCGCCGTCTGACCCCCATCATAAAGTAGTAATTTACACAACAACAACAACAGTAACTGCTTTTCGTCTTATCACTATCCAATAGACCTTTCTGGCATGATAGGACCTCAAGGGAACAAGTGTTCCACCAACATAGCTCGTTGGGTCATTGTGATACGCAAATCCACCACGTCAAAGTAGTAGCTAACATTCAGGCCAAACAACATTGCACATTTATTACTGATTTAATTAAAGTTAGATCTCGGCAACAACCTATACTTCACCGTGGAGATACAGGAACATAACTAGGAAATCGACAAGAAAAGTAGAAAAACTGGCTTCACTAGAGTATAACTTGACATTTCAACACAAATTTGCGAATAAGATGTGAACTTTCTCAAGGCAGACTGGTGAAGTTACCTACTATTTTAATACTACGCGAATTCAACATTTACAAAGTGATTCAAGATTCATATTTCTAGAGGACAAACAAACATAATTATTCTAACCGAATATAAACATTATTCAACCGTGTACAAACTAGACGGGTAGGTGGCCTTATTACTGTTTTTTTAGATAAATATTTCATTTTCTCGTCGGATTGCATATGCTCGATGAATGTCCTGTTGCTAGTTCTCATCATTTGACTCTTATTAATGAATTTACGTAACGTAATAGGAAGACGGAAGCTATCTGAGAAATGTAACACAGTTGCTCGCCAAGGTATCTTATATGATGGATGGAAATAGGGTAGGGTAAGGTAAATAAATTAAGATAGTATAAGATTTGGGAAATATAAATGTCTTAAAGAGGAGTAATACATCTTCACACCTCTCTTGGCATTAAAGTGGGATAAAGATTACCAAGGAAAACTGAAGGTAAGGATGAATTACCAAGGGAGGTGTGAAAATATATTATTCCTACTTATTAGCACTATGTTTCCCAAATCTTATATTATCTTAATTTACTTACTTTACCCCACCCTATATTAATCCTTCATATAAAATGCCTTGACAAGTAAACGTGTGACCAGATTTTTCGCAATGCAATGCGGAAATACATCACATTTCTCAGATAAAATCCAGATCCACCAAAGCGACTAATTGTTTCAAATTCTTATAAATGAGTTTATCTTATAAGCAGATTCTATCCTAACAACAATATTCGTTGTACACAGAAAACACTAGAATATCGAACCACAGTGGTTAATGATTTGAGCTGGGCTGCAACGAACCAACCAAGAACCCATCGCCCAACAAATATGCAGAAAAAAGTGGAGATGGATTGGATTGGACATAAACCGTTTGGGGACACCATGTGCCAGGCCCTCGAGTGGAACCCAAATGGGGAACGAGGAGTTAGGCGTACGAGGGTGACATGAAGGAGATCATATGAGGAAGAAATGAAAGCTTCTGGGCAGTCGTGGAGCCAGGTTCAAAAGACTAGAGAGAAGAGAGTGAAATGCCGACCTGCTACTGAAGCCCATGTCTCACTGAGAACCCAAGGGACAAATAAAAAATAAAAAATACAGAAAATGTTCATAGCCATAGAAGACTTGGATGACTAGATGAATAAGAATGACTAACTGTCAGCACACTTTTAGTTGACTGTCATTCGCATTTATGGTATATTCACCTGTAAAAATAAAGAACATATACATTCAACTTAAATCACGGATATCACTGACCACCAGGAATACTGAACACACGTAAATATAACGTAATAACAAAAATGTCAAAGTTCGTCAAACACTCAGTGACCACTTTAAAATTGAAAAAAAAAGACTATGCATGATATGCATTTTATTCAGGAAAAGTGAAAAATGAACTGGAACAGTCTAAACAACTGACCAATATTCCTAAAAGTAAGTAAAGTTGAATGTGAAAGTAAACTGCTTTCTCATTGATCAGCGGTTTAATGATTAGAACATCCAATTTACTAGATTAGGAGGAATGGCAGTAACTTTGGTCGAGTACAAAGGTTGACTCACGACTGATTATTTAGCTGTATGCATCTCAATACACGCATATACACGAAACGATTTTAGATATTCACCTCACCACATTAGAAGTTTGATGAATGACCTATCATATACAACCTAATACCAAAATATCTGTGTACTCTTTCGATGCAAATTCTTTATTCAATAACGTCCCGTTGTCCAAGACTAATAACATTCTCTGTGAGTACCTATCTTTTAGAAACATCCTATTTCCTATTACTCCAACTTTTCTGAGGGAGCTATCATTACTGTGTACCGAGAAAGTTCATTTCACATCTGAAGGTGAACGCTTTCGATAAGTTGATGGTGTAGCTACGGTTAGTCCCTTAAGACCATTTACTAACCGATATTTTTATGTCACATATCGAAAATCTAGCAGGTGATGACATTGATAAAGTTTCTCTTTACAAGAGATATTTTGATGACATCTAAATTCATGAAAGGGACTGATTGTTCCAAATATCGTGGTTCAGTCAATAATTACTATCCTTTGAGTACTGCTGTGAGTTTCCTATCTACAAGGGCATATTATATCTTACAAACGTAATACTTTCTTATTACAACTCCGAATAGGATAAAATGATGAAAATGATTTTATGTGAGTCAGAAGGTCGCAGTCGTAACCATATAGGAGCTAATACCTGCTGATATCATCTGTTTTACACAAAAAGGAAAAATACTACGAACACACTGTAGCTGATTCTCTGTAAACACTTCAAATAATCCTCTGTAAAAGCGGTTGAACGAAACTCCACATATTAACGAAATTCAAACAATAAATAACACAGACTGTACCTTCAACGAGGTTGAAAATACGTAAATGCATCAAAAGCCATACTGACTGTACAAGATGATATAACATGCAAAATATAAAATCACCATATAGAATATTTAAAATGTTCTAGGTATAGGGTACTTGTAGTAGAAAATTCATAACATGTACGATTTATTTCTGATCACGAATGCTTCTCCACCAAGATAAAACAGCACGACGTCGTTCCCATATGAAATCAGCTCCATTCATACCGTATAACCTAATGTTTAAGAATAAATAAGTGGTAATAGTAATTTTGGAGAAAAGCTCTTTTGATACCAGTTAATCCACTTCAACAAAACATTCCTTCATAACAGTTTCCTTATAGCTCTAACCAAAACACAAAATTGGTACATCTGAAACAGTGTTATACATCATGACCTACATATTTTGACGCTAAACACGTTCACAACGATGCAGTTTGTCTCGTTTTATGCCTCTGCATCATCAAACTAACTTTATTAGTATGTAGCTTATACTTTAGTGTTCAAAATAGTATTAGTTAATGAGTTACATGTGTCTAAATTCAGTGGATTAAGGATACGACATAAACATCGCTAAGAATTTGTTTACGTGTTTAAGACCACTAAGTGAATAATGTTCATGTCAGAATGTAGAAATTTCGAGTAAAAATGAACCAATACACAGTAAGCTAACTAGGCTATCTCATACATGTCCTACTATTAACCACTGTAAAGTGGAATGTTCTCCAAATAAGGTGTAAAGGCTCAGAAATCGTAGATAGAAAAAAAGCACCCATTTATTAGTTGCCTAGTTAATGATTAGTGTTTTGCCGAGAAGAAAAATTAGACTTCCTTCCTATGCATCGATAATTAACGGTTGCGAAAACCAAAGGTCAATTTTAATAAATTCATCATGATGGTGCAGTTACATTCAGTTTGTTTATGTATATGACCTTTGAAAACTAAGCAAAGGTAGATTGGTCGGTGAAGTTGTTAACTTTTATCAACTCCACTGGTTGACATCTGACACCTAGCTACTACCCACCACAACTCACGATGTAAATTGAAGTGTAAGAAGGATACAAACATTAGTGTGGTCATATCAATACAATCTACTAATCTGTGAAGTAGCTGACTGCTAGCCGGTGGGTAGCTGTAGGTTTTCTGGAAGTTGTCCATGAGGTTAAGGTAACTTATGACTGAAAATGATTGATATGAATAAAAACAGGTTGCAGATCCACAAACATATTCCTGTTCTGTACGTTTCATTTCATAATTTGACCTGTTTCTTTTATGAGTACATAGTCTTTTACTACTGCTGAGGTAAAAATAGTTTGGATAAATAAGTAGCTTCATAAGACTTGTTGCACCTATATCTAAAAACATATTGTTATAATATTGTAAATGTAACAACATGTAATTTAGATTTTTTTTCTCCCGGATTCTTTTCCGCTCTCTTAGAAGTTTGAAAGATTGAACCAGTTAGAAACCGCGTTTAGTCGAATCTAATTGAATTACCTACTATACATATACAATAGTTATCATGCCTTGCAGATATATGTAGTACTGTCAGCCTTACAATTCCTTTAAAAACACTCTATCACACAAACAAAAATGAACAGCTAGTGAAGTACAGGGGAGAAACAGGTATATACATTCAGAAAATATATCAGATAAGGTAACAAAAAAAGGCAACTTAATTCAGTGCTAAGATACTCAGAAAATCCCAACTAAGCTGTGATTTGGATAGTAACGATCTTCACGTTTAAAGTGTGTATCATGTTTTCGTACACATGCAATGCCTAAGCCAACAATGCAGGTACACAAGGTGGAAATATACACCAGTTGCTTTTTTTACAAAAACTAACACCAGAAGTAAACTATTACAGTGACTGAATGAAAAGTAGAAAGGCTTTATCGAAGACACAAAAATGAAGAATGTTTTGGCCTGAGAATTGTACAAGCTGAGGTTTTCCATTTATTTAAATGCACTTGAAAAATCATTCACAGGCAGAATGTTTCGTTGTACATGAGCATTGCACGAAGTCAAGCAACTAAAAACCATTTTTCATATCTAAATGAAACAAGCAAATAAAAACTGTCTGAATTACTGAAAAGGTTAAAAAGGATTCTACACGATGAACTTAGTAATCAGTTACACTAGTATGCCGTTACTGATGTGAAAACAGCAACTCAAACCAACACATAGACAGTCAACAAATCAAACATCCTACAGAAAAGCATTATCTTACTAGACGATAAACCTCGTCGAAAGAACATCAATAGAAAACAACAATGAAGGTGACTTGTGCGTGAGGGACTCATTTCAAGCAGTTTTCAAGTACAGTGTGATCTGATAGGAAACATCAAAAGCTTTCCACAAATAACGCGACTGTCCAGCACTGAATAGTCTTTAACCTATCCAATGTCATACAAAGCTCAATAACAATAATTTAGAGCACAAAAGCAATAGACAACTTACATGCCAAAAAGCAGACCGCCAGCATGCGCTGCATGATCGAATACACTTCTATGGGTGAAGAACAAAGTACCAATTGCTTCAAGGCATAACATGCACCAAACAGCACTAGTCGCTTGAAATGAATGAGGTATAATGTCTACAACAAATGGTATACACAGTCTAGCGTCTGGTTGAAGCATGGCGAATGCGCCAACTATAGCACATATTCCTCCACTTGCACCAATAGATTGGAGAGTAGACCGACGGAAAATTTTGTTGATCAAACTAACATAGTTTGAGAAAATTCCTAAAGGTTGTAAATCAGTAAAATACTATGATGAAATGTAATAGTAATATCTACATAATATGAAAACTCAATAAGTTCATGTATCTTAATCCCACATAAAATTCACTTGCAAACGAAACTATTTGAATGTCGAAAATGTAAACTGAGGACAAATAAAATCGAAATAGAATCCTGCACAGGAGAGTATCACTTCATCAGTGGAGCTGAGGTTAAGGGAGATAACCACCAAACCACCGGGACCAGGTTCGAGCCCCGGTCTGCCTACCGAGGTTAAAGAAACCAGGTAGTATCGCTTGCCATAATCCAACGCGTTAGGGTCACTATCTAAGGCACGAACAAGCCCAAGGTAGCTGAATGCGTTTTGTTCGCATCAGTTAGAAAAGCGATAAGTCTAAGATTGTGATTTTGGAACCAGTTATCAACCACGTCAACAGCACGCTCCCACCACTGACGTTTACACTTATCAATACCTCTAAGGAAAGGATTGGAGAATCAACGGACAGATGCAATGTACCGCTCAGGCCATCCCGACGTAAAAAATTATCATATACTAAGCACCACTGCACAACGGTCCAACTAGCAACACCTCAAATGTCCACAAAGAGAAAAAAGGCATTATACTGACATACAGAGAGAGATAAATAAGGAAGAAAGTAGTCAGAATTGGTAGAAGGTCGTTATAAGGCAACAAGGAGTAAGGCAATGATGAAATTCGGTATGACGACTGAGATGAAGTTATGTCCGAATACACCTGCACCATTAGGATCGATTCTGAGCCACATCACCTAGAATCTGAAATACTGGTTTCCGTTGTCACACAGACACCAACCGGGAAGTCTACATTGTCCCACATGGCTTAGACCAACACTCAAAAACTCTATGCATTGATGACACGTCTCAGTCTGTCTAATGATAGCCTTCCTCCAGCATGAACCAATTCCACTCAGCATTGCACAACGAGGCACATTGACACTAGGTATGTGACACATGTCTCAAACACCTGAGCCAATAAAGGTTCACAACCTCATCGACTGACTTTCTCTTCTATCTTCTATCCAAAACTTTACACATGACTTCCACGTTAATGGTGTGCCGGCACCACCATATACGACTTATCCTACGAAGTCAACGGTGGTTGGACACTTGAAGCTTTTTCATGTCCTCTACCTTTAATGACCACGTCCCACAGACACAGAGTAGAACAGAGCGAACTGAAACGCAGTACACTCGATCCTAAATAGACATTCGAATATCACGGCGGCGCCATATATGGCGTAGGTTGACGAAAGCCCAGTGAACCTATCGTATCCGGGCAGAGATTTTTCCGGTTACTGACCCACCGGGGCTGACCCGACTTCCTGGGTAATTGTATTGGTCAGTGACCTCAACCTTTGACAGCCCTTCCCATTGTTAGAAAAGGCTCCAATGGAGACCAGTCCGTGAGCAACGGTTTGCATTTGGGTGAAATGCATCTCAAACATTCCCCAATTGCTACTCAATGTGTCCAGAAGACTCTGCATTTTGTCAGCACCCTCAACTAACAGGACCAAGTTGCCTGCGAATTCCAAGTCTACTAAGGCTTCTCTTGGGACAAGATCATTTCCCGGTAAACCCAAGTGATGAGAAGCTGACGTCCATAAGTATGCCTATGATAAAGTTGGATAATAATGAGAGTGGATATCCTCGACGGACATTACTCACCAGAGGCTCTAACACACCAATGAGAATTCAAGTACCGAACCTTAATCACGGATATGTGCTTACCCACAACCGAGAGGCACTTTCACAAGACATCTCGGTTGTTGCAGTTAAATGTCGCCTTCATTTCGGGGAATATAGATAGTGTTGTGTGTCAGCAAGTGTGCCTGTGTTCCAGAACACAGTAGAGGTTGAATATCTGGTTGATACATCCACGACCAGGTCTGAAGCCTGTCTGGTTCTTCAGGGTTCGTTGTTTCCGAGCTCCACTCAGACACGTCTAATGATTGTAGAAACTAGTATCTTAGACACTATGTTGGTTAGGCTGATTCCTTTGTGTTCATCAAGACGCGACTCCTCTCCATTCTTGAAGACTGGGTTAATCAGTAAATGAAACCAGTTAGAGAGGATCATATTTGACTCCCATACACTAGCCAACAGCTCAGTTAATGTGGTCAAGCAAACGCAACTGCTGTTCCAAATACCTATGATACTAGTCCGTCTGACCCTGCTACTCTTCCTCACTGCACACTGCTTACAACTGTACAATTTATTCGAACAGCAGGCAGATGACTTCAAATCGGATCCAATAGAACCCGCTTTTCACCCTAGGACCTAAATTTATGTTTACACTTGGGAGACCGTAGAAACTAGAAACCAAGTCCCTAAATACTCGGGGCGCTAATCATAACGAATCGCTAACACACGAATACTATAAGCATATCCTGGAAACACAGAATGCACCATGATCGAATTAACAATCTTTTGCCTGGTGAGGTTGGTTGTGCAGACAATAAATGTTCAAACGTGTAGTGTAAAGTATGATTTTAGCAGACAAGAAATATTTCATGAATTCTAAGCATCGATACGAGATGTATAGCTGAAAGAGTAGAAAAGTACTAATAACAGAGAATGAAAGAAAATTTTAAAAACAAAGAGTGAAGAGAGTAATTATCAGAAAGCTCACTGTTACTGGAATTGCAAGGATCGTTGAAATCTTTCGATTGCTAAGGCTATGAAAGGTTGCCTCAAATAAGAAGAGGAAAAACTTTGAGTGGCCACAGAGTTCGAGGAACACCACCTTAAGATTGGTCAAACATGGTGTTTGTCAGAACGTTTGTATTTGTAAAGTTGCATCCGCAATTAAAGAACTTTACTACCAGCAATGGAAAGTCATAGTGAATACAGTGCACTGATACTGGGCGTGATTATTTCTGACGCGTTCCGAAAGTGGAAAGGTAGCACTATATTTCTTAGCATGATACCTAACGAAACAACCATCACAGGTAGCATAGTATGTTAGATTGTTGTTACATGTGGGTCCCATCATTCTACCGAGGTAGAAGCTGTCATTAGGTATTTGTTACACAAACCTAATGCCAAGCATTAAATACGTCAATGTATATTGCTTTACTAGGAAAACTTCATCACTACGTCACCGCATTAATCAAAATTTTAATTATTACGTAGCCTCAAATAATCTAAGATTTGAACTAACTAAATGTTGATGACATATTTACCACTGTATACAGCTATGAACATAAGTTAGTTGAAAAAAGAAGAGTATTAAAAATAATTACCTACTTCCTACCACAACAACCCAATAAATGGTTTTAACTCACCACCAGCAATGAAAAGACTGATAAAACCTTCGGCCCCAATTAATGAAATTACAGACAATGCGAAACTGTGGAGCACATACATATTAACAGCCAGATGGAAAATACTTTGATGCGAAAACACACTGAGTAGCATTGATAACACAGGAGTAGCTGAAGAGTAAGACAATTAAAGAGACCAAAACATATATAGAGAATGAATACATCAAAGAACAATGGTATTTGGAAGTTAGAAACCAATTTTGGAGTATAATTATTAGAAATACAGTGAACTCATACGTATTCCGTATTCTCTTACCAAACCGCTTGTTTTCCCATTTTTTATTTCTGTCCCAACGCCTTGGTATGACCAAGGTATGGATGAGTCAAATTATACTTTTGAAATACTCTTCAAATAACCGTGGTTTCATAGCTTCAGCCATGAAACTCTTACACATTGACTTCAAGTGATGGTTTTTCCACGAAAGCAAGAGGAAAAAAGAGAACTTTCACCACTTATCACTGGATTGATGGATACAAAGAGTTCACTAAGGGGAGCTAAAAAACCCTGAACCAAAATCAGTGGTACAAATAAATTGAGGGATAAAGAATTGAAGAACATCATTCGAACCCAATCTGCGCACCAGCAACCATGGATATCAAGCACCTAACGTTGCTTCATTGCCTTGTGGATCAGACTTCAGGACAAAGGCTGAGAGAGTATTCCTATACGACACACCAACTGCTTTGGTCACATCAACTAGTCAATATCAGCCTACAAGCAAATCGTGAAACAACGCTGGTAATGAAGCTTATAAAGAGTTGCGAGTCATCAGTCTACTGGATTTCCAACAGATGGGCAATGGGTTCAAACGCAGCTCCACCTGCAGCAGTTTGGGGGGCCAGGTAGTATCACTAGATCTCATACAATATATATCTCACTGCCTACTGCGTGAATGTGCACAAGGTTGCTGGGTGAATTTCGATTCCGATGAAGCTAATAATGAACCCATCAGACGTTCTTGAAAGCAGTCGAATTTACCGTACAAAATTTATACCCGACATTTCTCTTCGCATATATGAACTATACTTTTTCTCGATCTGAAAATTTTCTTTCTGCATCCTTTTTCCGCCCAACTGCTTGTCACTGATTGAAATTTTGGTGTCTGTGCCATCGTGATACGAAAAACTGTTACTTCCATAAAGCTGCGCCTGAGATATTTGATACAACTACTGTGAAACAATGCGCATCGTAAGAGCCAGAGTCTTCATCGTTCACAACTTTTTTCAAGTCGCATCAAAGACAATGTTGGCTGCGATACTGGAAAGCGCCCGCCATTTATGTAAACACCTCAGAGTCCTGAATGGAACCGACCGACAGAAGTAAATGAAGATCGCAAGTTAAGGAGGTGGAAGATGGACAGTGATTCGAAGGGATTTGAGTTGTGAGGGTGGTAGACACTTCCTAACTGCCCACATAGCGGAAGATTCGTTTTTCTTAATGTACTTTGAAAAAGAAGGATGTGCGTGATCGCAGAGCCTAAGGAAAGTCTTACTGAAGCTGGTGAATATCGAGTCAGACTATGAACCCAAATGGCTAGCACCCACTTCTACTTTCGCTTCTGTTTTCTACCCATTTTTCTATATCATAATAATGTCTTCTTAATATGGCTTTAATATTCTGTATGAAACATTTCTGGGTGCCCATTTTCTCCAACTCCACACCTAAAATCATCAGTTACTGATTGTCATGAGTAAAAGATGCTGTAGTGGAAGGAAGTCAACATAAGATCAGTGAGTGGAGTATTATGTCTGAAAATACCACTGAAAGAATACTTGTAACCCTGAAGAAGCCCATCCTGAACCGGATCGAAATGTCCTCAGACGTTACGACTGCGTTTGCGCAGTGGGTCATGGTCAACATCGTATAAAGGACGGGTAGTAGCCAATGGTAGGATTTGGGACGGCATTTTCGTCTGTTCAATTTGACGTGCCTACTTCTCCGTGAGTGTTCTCGCTGATGAGTCCTAAGTAGGAGAAAACACACGCGGCGGCTTTCGCTGCTAGCCGCTATTCATTTTTGATATCAAAACGAAACCATTTGTTACATAGAGGCATCCGCGGGGGCATTTATATGTCAAGAGTAGTCGACCAATTAGGTTCAAAAACGCCAGCTAACAATTCATACTATCGTTGAGCAACACATATTGTGAGGTCGGACATCGGTAGATGAGGCGATATGCGAACCCATGACATACTGGTCGAAAATCAAGCGCCATAAAACAGGTCCGTAAACTAATAAGTAATCCTCAAGGCCACTATGGTAATTGCTAAGATAACCAATGAGGTTTCTTTATTTCATGAAACAACTTTTCTCCTAGTCGAAATAACGAAAACTGATTGGTCGTTTAGCGGTACCTGGAATGATCTTTATAGTCACTTTAAACCAATGCTTTTCCGATTTGAACATGTGCTAATCTGTTAACAACAAAATCGATTAGTTAGACAATAAAGATTATAATTAATAACCCCCAACCTGTATCATGATTTGCAAACTAAATTAAACCAACGATATTTCGCAACTCAGAGTATCCGGATACTTCTAGCAACATGTAAAACTCATGGTGGGGTCGGTGACGAGGTTCTCACCACCCTGTACACAGCCTTAATTGTATCTAAACAGGTAAACTGTGTGAGAGCGCCAAGATCCTGATTGAGAGACGACTCAGACCTTCCAGGAAGGTTCAAGGGAAGATCACTCGTATTGTTTTTATGGTCGCTAGCCTAACCTAATATCTGAACGTCTCTCTTTATTTTATCACAAAGAGAGAAAAAAATAATTATACACATCGTTTTGGGACATGATTGTGGAAATGTTTCTTTTTTTCCCTCCCGCCAAATTGGAACACGTCAAAGAAAATACCAGAAAATAAACGAACGTCATCGCCGTGGAATACTAATTTCCACATCGAGCAATTAACTGTCAGAAAAATTTGCTGCTGTTTCCACGTCATCACTTTAGTTATTCATCAGAGAACTGGACAAACACATGAACCTACTAGCGAAGGATTAAATCTGAATCCGAAATCTTATTTACCACCTAAAAACTTTCGTCATACTGTAGCAATTTAAACTGCTTCATTTTATTCCTATCATTAATACTACAACGTTTGTGTTACGTATTGAAACTATGGTATGGCAGGATAAGCAAGTAACGCCGAGTGTTTTCCAGTCCCATAAACTACGACTGATAATTAAGACGGAAAACGATATGTCAACAAGTTTATTCGCCGCTAAGGTGATCAACAAGTGACGACATTTGAAATACATAAAGTTATTATTGCGTTGCGAAGGCGGTCAGACTGTCAATACCTTATTATTGATTTTAGCATAAGGGAAATAAGAAGGATCGCTGTCAAATCCATAGATACAGCAACCTGTATGGTCGAGGTGTAGCACAATCTGCACTAGAGGGAAAAACATTGAACGAAATGAGTGGCAAGCAGTAAAGACAACAGGTACAAAGTAGATTCACTAAATTAGAAATCAAAGCGTCACGTACACGTAGAACTTGGCACAGAAGTGTATCAGTTCATATAGCAACACTTCGCAGAAGCAAGCAAAAATGTGAATAACATAAAAGTAGGCAAAAGTTTAGGAAAGCTGAGGAGATGAGTTTCAATGAAAATATCCAACACCTCGAATATGACGCAGGATGCATAAATCTCTATCACTGCGATCGATTTGGTGATATCGCTGGTTTCTATTGTGTCAAGGACCCAAGTTAGACAGTCATTTTCCTACAAACATCATATCAACAGTCAAAACATCATAGACTGCTACCATCTTCATCTGGACACCCTTAGTTTTCTTTCAATCTAATCTTACTTCGGTTAACATTACGCTTTAATGTAGATGGTGGCTCAGCATGCGCAACATATGTCAAAGTTACTTCAGTGTGGGTCCACAACCATACTGGCTTACACACCTAACCTCAACATTGCTCAAATGGCGATTCTGAAAGAAGTGAGAAATGTCCCGATGATATCCACATTTAAAAACCTGTAGCCCCTTCAAGTCTCTTGTTTCATGCGGCGGGGTTTCCCGACTGTATAATGGTATACACAGTTTTATTCATACGTCATCCTCACCTAACTCCTATCCTGAATTCAGCATTTTCTCATTCTTTCTTCCCCTCTTCTATTGCTTTCTAATGCTTTTGATCGACTTTTTTCTCTTTCTTCATATCTCACCTTACTTGTTGTGTTGGTATTAAGTGTGGCAACTTGGACAGTTATGCAATAACACCTGGCCCTATGTTGATATTTACTGATTGATACAGAGAAATAATGTGAAGTTTACTCACTCTTTGGTGTGAAATAGCTACTTCCAGAGACCTGTCAGCCAATATCAAATCTGGATCTAGCGTCACTGTATAACGGTTCAAGTTACCATAACCCACATCAGGACATCAGGGTAGAAGGGAGCAAAATGAAGGACAGAGAAGTGTAACCGAAAGTTGTAGGAAGTTATTAGGGGAAAGACAAGTGGTAAAACAACGAAACCTCATGACGATTAACTGTAGGATACTATGTGGATGCATCTGTGCCACTATGATCGATTCTGAGTTATATCAACTAGTCTACAAAAACAAATCTTAGTTATAAAGCGGACCACAACCTCGAAGCCCACATTTCCTTGCACAGTTTAAACTAACAGTCAAAGACCATTCACTCATGCCCCAACTTAAACCTACGTCGGCTAACTTTGCGAGATGAGGTAAACAGTCACACCAGAGATGATGTGTGTCAAGTGCTATGAAGTTCCTTTTTATTCCGATAGTGAATTTGTCAGCAAGTAACCCATTCCAACTTAAACATTCTTTCCGTAAATGAAGTAATCAACGCACTTCATGGTCTATCTTTTAATAATTAGTTGGTGCAATAGGATCGTGTTACCTGTGTACTCCAAATTGATTAGGAACCCTCCAAGGAGTAAGTCAAATTTTGAGAAGTTGGAATTACACAGTTTAATCATAATCAACATATCTATACCAAAGTTAAGAAGGGATAATAATGAATAACACAGATGAACACCACTGGCTGTTATTTCAACTGACAAGCTCCCACAAGGCGTTGGACAGTTACATGAGTCTGACTAAACGTTTGTTTAGCATATACTTTTTGGAACTTTCTTTACAACCGAATACTGTTACAATACCTTTTCGCAGATAGAGAAGAATGCTGTCTTAACATAAAGAGATGCAATAAATATACAGCGTATCTATTTCTACCCCATAATGTGTCGAAGAGTGAACAACTAACAAATGCACTCAACTTCAGGTCTGACACCTGCCTGGATCATGAGATCGTGGTTACCAAGCTACAGTTGGATGTCAGGTGACTATGGACCCCAGCATCTCAGACATGATAATCAAACTGATTCACCTAAGGTTGCTACAAGAAAACCTCTCACCTTTCGTATAAATCGGAATGATCAGCGATATAGACCAAACTACTAATGTCTAACCAATTCACGTGCAGATTTTAAAACTGCTTCTTTTACTCGAATTTGTTGCTCTCAAGCTTCGGTTTTCCCTGTCAAGCTTGCACAGGTTGACGCACTAAAGTGATTCACACTTATTCTGTGACGGATTACGAGATTAAGAGGTTTTTCAAGAAGTAGATGGAGTCAGACTTGAGCCGGCGTACATTGCCTCGATTGAGCTCCAGTTATACGTCGGGTAACCATCGACTTCATAATACTAGGTTGTTAGTCAACCTGATACCTTTTGGAGTAGAAGATGAAGATTTCCTTCCTTTGGCGTTCACCCTTGATGATGATTTTACTCAACATTATTTTATTTGTGCCAGTCCGTTTGATCAACCAAAGAAAATGCTGAGTAACATCCCATGTTGATGCTTTTCTTATTTCTACAACCGGCACTACCCACCCCTGCTTCCGATCGTGGAGAAGAATGTAAGTTTACACTCAAGCAGGTCTTTGTTTCTCAAGGTGATCAGGGCCAGCAAGAGGGCATTTTTTCACGTAGATCAGGTCGCATGACTTCTGATATATTGTCACTCTCTTAACCAACTGTGCATCAATCAAAAGTGCTTCCTACCCTAGGACTTAGTCCCGTCACTTTAATAAGAAACCTGCAAGAACTGGCATTCAAATCGCTGAATATCTGTAAAACAAATGGTGCATATTTAGCGCCCTATCCACCTAGCGTCGAATGGATAAACGTAGTAAGTTCTTTTATGACTAATATAAAAACGGCATACATTCACCGTCTATTATGCAAAGGAGGTCGAATCGTCAGTTTGATACACGATGAAACAATGAACCAATAGCGATATGAAACCTGGTATTATTGCAGAAAAATTCAATTTGCCACACTTCATATCTCCACATCAAGAGATAAGGCATCACAGTATTATATTTATATACAAATAAGGAAGAAAGTAGTCAGAATTGGTAGAAGGTCGTTATAAGGCAACAAGGAGTAAGGCAATGATGAAATTCGGTATGACGACTGAGATGAAGTTATGTCCGAATACACCTGCACCATTAGGATCGATTCTGAGCCACATCACCTAGAATCTGAAATACTGGTTTCCGTTGTCACACAGACACCAACCGGGAAGTCTACATTGTCCCACATGGCTTAGACCAACACTCAAAACTCTATGCATTGATGACACGTCTCAGTCTGTCTAATGATAGCCTTCCTCCAGCATGAACCAATTCCACTCAGCATTGCACAACGAGGCACATTGACACTAGGTATGTGACACATGTCTCAAACACCTGAGCCAATAAAGGTTCACAACCTCATCGACTGACTTTCTCTTCTATCTTCTATCCAAAACTTTACACATGACTTCCACGTTAATGGTGTGCCGGCACCACCATATACGACTTATCCTACGAAGTCAACGGTGGTTGGACACTTGAAGCTTTTTCATGTCCTCTACCTTTAATGACCACGTCCCACAGACACAGAGTAGAACAGAGCGAACTGAAACGCAGTACACTCGATCCTAAATAGACATTCGAATATCACGGCGGCGCCATATATGGCGTAGGTTGACGAAAGCCCAGTGAACCTATCGTATCCGGGCAGAGATTTTTCCGGTTACTGACCCACCGGGGCTGACCCGACTTCCTGGGTAATTGTATTGGTCAGTGACCTCAACCTTTGACAGCCCTTCCCATTGTTAGAAAAGGCTCCAATGGAGACCAGTCCGTGAGCAACGGTTTGCATTTGGGTGAAATGCATCTCAAACATTCCCCAATTGCTACCCAATGTGTCCAGAAGACTCTGCATTTTGTCAGCATCTTCACGTGATAGGGCTATGTCGGTAGCGCGCTTTACGATTACTTAGAAGTTTCGTGTAACCTGGTCAATTTTCGTTAAGTTTAATGAGGTAAGGAAGACTTCCATAATTACACTACCGACAGAATTACATGGGAGTGCAACTCCTTGAGGGACACTACTCGAAGTACACACCTCATGGTAGGCTTTGACACGCTAACAGATGTTCGAATGGAGATTCTTCAACAGAGTGATCCACTAACCTAATTCTCACATCAGACAGATAGAGAGAGACAGCTATAAGATATTTCGATCGACGAAGTGAACTGCTGGCTTCATGTCAAGAAATACAGCTTGTGTCGGGACCGAGTAAACGTGCCTGTGTTGCAAAACCTGGCGATGGATGAATATATGTTTAAAACACGCACGATTAGGTCTGAAATCTGCTTGGTTTTCCCGGGTTTTCTGTTCCTGAGCTTCGCTTGGGCATCTAATGTTTACGTTATCTAGGATATTAGATACTACGTTTGTCAGACTTAATATCATGTTGTTATTTCTGGCCTGTCTTGAAGACTGTGACAATCAGTGATTGATACAGCATATGACTTGAAAACTACAGTAAGCTATCGGTAATATGATTTCTAGAAACCAGCAATAATATCCTGGTAGAGAGGCTAGAATTTGAGCAAATACCTATTTCCATTGAAGTTTCATAAAGCTCCATCCTTAAATAAATAGATAAATACAATACTTTATGCTAATAAGCATGCACACGTCGAGTGGTCACGTGAACTTGAATTCTTTGCAGCTATCTGTACATCCTACTAGTCGAAATTTAATAATGGTAATACTAATAGCAATAATAATAATAACGGTTGCAGAGTTAGAAACTGAAGCAAATTAAATAGAAAAGAGTGAAGACGAGGGGAACTATAATGATGGTCACTGATGATATAGATAGAATTATGACCTGTTAGAAGTGCGTAAGTAATGACTGCTCCTTAGCTTTCTGTGCCAGGAAAATTTAACATATACTGAGGCTGTAGTCAATGTATAACCTACGAAATGCACGTAGCCAATCAAATTATTTCACACATTTAATAGTGTGGAGAATCACAGAAGCCTATAGTTAAGATGTCGATGATGAAAAACTCATTTCAAGTTAAGTATACAATAATTGCTTCCACTGCCGCATTTTTATCCTGAAACTTTTTTATTGACAATATATGCGATCAAGATATAAAATGGAAGATTCCGTAATGACAGTTAAAGTTGTGGTACTCCGTAAAGTCGCCCACGTTCGATGACCTAGTAATACTACCTAGCAGCCCAAATTATGTGGAAGGGGATACGAGTCGGTAAACTCTGAATCAAATGTAATGTTTCTAAATTAAACTTCACCGAATATCGGAAAATGCAAAACCATTAGATAAATAACACAGCACAACACGGTGGGAAAACAACATTCACGTAATTTATTTCACCGTGGTAACCCGGATGAAATCCATCTCATGACAGTTATTGATTAAAAAGATAGAGATATGGCTAGTACAGGAAGCGAATGCTGATCGTGTTTGACTTCCCACTCTGCCCTTCATACCCAAAAAGGTTGAACTAAAAAAGGAGGGAATTTTAATTGGATCCGACTTAAGAAAGCTGTTTTCCCTACCAACTATTATTTGAATTTTTATTCCTTATTTTTTTATAATCGAAAGATCTTCAGAATATTTGGTAGCCCTATTGTTTTCTGAATTTGAAAATGTATGCTGACAATAATGAATAATATCTACATGCAACGCATACATGATGCTTAGGTGTGGGTGAAAAGAAGCAATTACTCACGCCCATGTGGACTGCTACTGAAATAACGCAGAAGTCTAGCAGAAAATGCGCTGTTGAGACCAAGACAAACCAGGATATTGCAAATCAAAACAGCTGAAATCAAGAAAAATATCAGTGTAGTAATTGAAATCTACCCCAATACACATCAAGGGCTCTCAGAGGTCTTCCTAAAATACCTTCAAAATATTCACGAACCTGTAATTGAATCAATTGTGACATTTGTCAAAATACCCGAGAAAAGAAATTCTCTTTGATGACTCCATGCTTTGATGTTGAACGACGAGCTCGCCAAGCTTCGAATCCCAAGATCAACGATCCCACAAATATTGCATTTGTAGATATCAATGTGAAAGCACCACATTTTAAAACCAATTTTAATTTTGACACAGGTGCGTACACTGCATCGACTGGCACAAATGCCTTTAATGGAGGTTTTTTACGTAGATAATTTATCCTACCGAACGCAAACGATCTGCAGTCTGCCATAAAAATAAAGCAAAAAATCGTGTATATAATTTCAGCAAGTTGAGCATGATGGGGAAAAACGTGGTGTTACATAAGCATTAAGATAAATCATATTACAATGACTCATAGATGACTGGGCAGCAATGCTCTCCTGACTAGAAGAACTGTATCAGAAAGACAGTTTATAAAAACAACTTTTGGTAGACAGATCCCTATAAAACGAAAGAAACTCAACAAAGTCAAACTATGGTTTCAGATGTAATGGACTCCAAGTGCATATGATAGGCAGGATACAACTGAACTACCATTTAAACTCACTTTGTGCTCATGAATATCTGAGTCAAATCAAAATCCACTCAAACCAACTGTGTGCACATTCATACGGTAGGCAAATAGTCACACGGATTGTGCGAAGGCTAGTGAGATTACCTGGCTGCCCAAACCTCGATAAGTGGGGCAGAGTTCGGACTCGTGATCCACTAACTGAAAGTCTACTACCTAAATCACAGCTCCTCTGAATCTAAAATGACACACACTTGAAATATAGCACAACTTACTAAAAATAAGTCATAACAGGCAATCAAGCAATTCCCCAAAGATGAATTGTAGCTCCTAAAGAACTAGGCGTTAGAGCCAAACGGAAACTGGATGAAACTACACTGTAAAATGCCCAACAGCAGTATGCTCTCCATTAACCCTACTTAACATTTTTGCGAGGGAACTTAAGACAAAGCGTCCCAAGCTGCAGCGTATTCGCGGTCAAACGCGTGACAAAAGTGATATGAGGCACCACTGGATAAAACATTATTTAGACCTTAACTGCAAACTACTTACAAGTAGTCCGTAAGCGTGGTAGGAAATACGGAATAGTAACGTTTAGGTGAAAAGAAGGTAATACCTATGTGTGACTGAAATGCTACAGTCGTGAAAAGGTATTTCCTACAGAAACATACATCTGATCATTAACCATTAATATAGGTCGCGTACGACTCATGTTTAAATAGCTTTGGGAACGAAACTGAAATCTGTTCCGTCTATTTTTATTAACAAATCGAGGAAGACAAGATTCATCCGCAGACCACGGTAGGTATGAACGCTGTAGTGTGACGAACCAGTAGCAAAATATTCCTTGAGAACCTACAAAAAAACAAAAATGTCACCAAAGACACCAAATATCATCAATCAGTAATGTCACAGCTTGTTACGAAGCGCTCTTATACGAAAGAAACCCTACAATACTATTGCATCACTAACTGACTGACTGACAAACTAACAAAATCAACGTAGAACCTCCTACAAAGCTACATCGGCTCCAGTTGACACGCTTCACAATAGCACACAAAAAACAGCCAGGTAGAAAAAGAGTGATTTCAAAGTAGATAAAGTTGTGTGAGAGAATAAACAATCTGAAGATAAAGGTTAATGAGAATATTCAAGCTTTAGAAGATGTCAAGGAATGAATACGTCTACACCATTGTCACCGATTTTCAGCCATGTTACCAAGCATCCCCAACCACTGACTCCTTTCGTTTCGACGACCCCAACCACACAGTCTACATCTCCCCATACGGTTCAGACCAACAGTCAGGGACTTCATCGACTACTGTCAGGCCTTGGTTTGGCCACCATGGACCCTCTTCCAACTTCCCCCAGCGTAGCACCGAAATCTATGATACTTCACAATTTATGTGTCAGCACAATTAAACATCTAACTAGGCAGATTATGGTCACTAATCACTGATAAACGAAGAAGAATGAATCACACTTGCTATTTACAATACGCAGTATACTGTTGATCACCTGCACTTTGAAAACGAATGAACAATAGTCTTTAGTTGCATAGATCAGCTTAGATTCTGATTCTGATAGTCACCAATAAAATCCCACTTAGTTAAGAATGAATACATGCGCTTAGTTTGTCGAAAAGTTTACTACTGAACAACCATCTAATTTGATCTAAGGATTTGAATTACCCAGATCACGGTTAACTAAACACTACACACTCTTTTCTTGTTAAAGGAAAAACTCATCATACATGCATCCAAAAAACATTCAGCTCCGTAGAACCGAACTCTTTAACTAAGTGTATCTAGTTTGCTGATTGGATAAACGCACATAACACAGAATGAATGAAAGGGTCACGAAATATTACTGCACACTAAACTCTTTGAATAAGTATTTGCTTGGTCAAATCCACCTGGTCTACAGAATTCGGTCACTTGAAATGATGGTAAAAGATATTTTCTGTTGAATTGAGAAAAGTTATGGCAGTTTCAGTGACCTTCATTTCCGATGAAATAACATTAGGTAGTTCACATTCAAGCTGATACGGAAATAAGACATCCTTCAGAAGGTTAGCTTGCAGAACAATAATACTTACAGTACTTCCAATTTATAGAAAGTTGTTCTCGAATGGTGAATTTTCTGACAAAGGTATATTGTTAAAACTCAATTTCGGGAGCTTTGGTTTGAGGTTGGTGGGGGACGCGAGACAATGTCCCCTCACAGGCCTAAAGATAGTGCTGGCCAGAAACAAGACTGCAACAGACGATCACCATTGTCGGTTCGTTGGCATGCAGTTCGGTAAATATTCCCAAGGTACTTTTCCCATTACCTTAGCTAAGCTTCCCTACGTGAGAACTACAGCCACCCGACATTATGACTACATCTGAACGTTTTGCTTTCTGTACCAAAATTGACAGCTTCTCATTGAATTCATCCTTTGCATTATCCGAAATACAGTCGGTGGATGAGGAGGCAGGGATCACGAATAGACATCGCTTGCTCTCACGATCCTTCCCAGTCCTTACAGATCCATTCAGTCGAACAGCAGACGGACGGCTGTTGACTGGTGTCCTGTCAAGATGCACACTTTCTGCTCCACAACTCAATACTATGCCAGGTAGACATTGGGAATCCGGATACTCGCAAGGTGAAATTTGAAGATTCACTACTATGACTAGACGAGATCAATTTCAAAACCACACTCTAGTCCTGTAAACTTGTCTCAGAAACAGTCGACGTATGGACCAATGGTTTAAGGAGATGACCCAATGGGTCACAGGTTCCAACTCCGACCCACCTGTCGAGGTTTGGGCAGCCAGGTAGTATCAACAGCTTTCACACAATAGGCGTGGCTCATCGCTTACTACACGGATGTACACAAGGTGGCTAGGTGCGTCTCGTTTCTCTTCATTCGTTCGTCTCAGAGACACATCAAACATCTTTGGATAGAAATTCATCAGTTCTGGAGAGCGATGCCTGCTGTCCTACCTAGCATAGATTTCCAACGTTGAACGCTCCTACATTAACTCGATGGAAGGGTTTTTACGAGACTGGGAATGAGCTTCCGATGGCTTTGATCATTGACAATGGTCGCAGAGTGAGAGGTGGGGGAAGGCGCATGAGGCTCAATATTCATATTGGAAGGTGAAGGGAAAGGAGGAGACAGAGTTGAGGAGAATATGTTATGTTTGATTGGGTCCTGTGAAGGTGGTTAACACTTCCCACACCATGACAGGCTAGTAAATCTTGGAGGACTTGAAAAAGAAGGGATGGTGTGATTGCAGAGCCCATGAGACATCTGCTTGAGCCTGGTCAAACATAGTTTTCTGGCAATTTTAAGATTTTGGTTTTCGCTTCTGAATCCAACCATCAATCCTGGTTCCAGGCATCAGCATACCACGAGGGAGCGAGACTGTGCTACTTTAGGGATCGACATTTCCTGAGTTCCCCTTCTTATAGGAAAGGGAGCATCAGTGTGGCATTGCTAGTTATCCAAGTGAAACACATTACTGCTGTCACACCCCATCCAGCTAGCAGCACCACTAATTCGCCGTCTGACCCCCATCATAAAGTAGTAATTTACACAACAACAACAACAACAGTAACTGCTTTTCGTCTTATCACTATCCAATAGACCTTTCTGGCATGATAGGACCTCAAGGGAACAAGTGTTCCACCAACATAGCTCGTTGGGTCATTGTGATACGCAAGTCCAACCACCGTGTCGTGGCAGCTGTTGACTGCGTCTATTGCATTAACTTGAGAGCGACTTGATGATACTTGTATCATATAGGCTGCGTATATACAGAAGAGAAAATAAGTTTAAAAACGCATTGCCTCCAGGTTTTTCCGACAAACCTAACCATTAATTGCTGTTTTTTTATTCATAAGACAGCTCGTCATTTAATTAATTATCTAGACTAAGCATTCCGTTTCTGGTTTTTGCTACAATTATTCAATGTTCTGTTGAGCTCTTTTCACTTTCCTGGCCACAAATGATACCCTAATTGTCTAGTTAGGACATGGTACCTAGAGATTGGATACGAAGTATAAGCAGTAGGATTATGGGGAAATAAGCACTGTCACCTCGTGCAGATCGGTGCAGTAGGCACAGGACCATACTTACCGTGAGGGCAGGTCATACCACCTGGCTGCCCAAACCTCGGTAGGTGGAGCGGAGCTTGAACCCATGACCCATCGGTGGGTAGCCATCGCTTTAAACCACTGAATCACAGCACCACTAGGATTACGGACTACACAGTCACCTCTACTCCAAATGAAGACTTACAGTTTTTGAAAATTTCTCCTGAAGACATAGTAAGCAAAAGACAATTTTCGGTTTTGCTGTTTAAATATCGTAGTTCACCTGAAGTTTGGTTATACAGGTTCAGTGTAAGACACCATTCTGAAACATTGTGGGTCAAAACAAACAAGACAAAGCCAGGCATGAAGCAAACTGGATACCACAGGTGAGGATCTGGGTTTCAGCACAAGATTATGCAAAATCCCTTACTTTCCTTATGTTGATTCGTTCGATTATTGTGATTAACTTCTGTAACACAAATGTTTATCATATCACTTTGTAATACTGGGTTCATCAGCTTCGAAGTTATTATTCCTAAGGATTTCCCCAGAGTCCGCAGCACCATGTCTATTTTCCCAGCCTTCCCTAAAATTCTCACAGAGGAATTAACGCTCACGATGCAATGAATGATTTCGATTGATTGGATGTCAATATGATTCCTTAACAAGCGCGAATACGCTTATTGGTGTCAAGCAGCTCTATACGACATTACATGCGATTTCAACTGAGATAAAACAAAACCCTTTGAAGCTGTTTTATACGAAACAAAGTAAACACGTTATGTAAAAAGTCTTATAACTTATGCAACAGGATACTTCATATTAAACAAATGAACACAGGATCTTACCATATATTTAACATGTCTAGAATCTTAAACGCATGAAACATGATGATAAACACGGTGAATACTGCATTATCCGCCATATACTAATTGATATGTGAGAAATATGCACGTGCTACGATAAAACATACTTTATGAATATTCGGATTAAATGTTCCAGTAAATTGAAGGAAGAAAAACATTCTAACAATTTTCAATCAAATCCGTCAGGCATTCAGCATCTACGTACCCCGAAGTATCGGCTGCACTCTCCAGGAGAATCGAACACACGGACTGATCATTTGTATACATCAAGGTCACTGGCGGTGGCAACACTTAAATGTCTAATATCTGAAATTAAATTGTGAGATCTTCATTCATATCACTTGAAGTTTTTTATGCGTTACTGGTGCTTGTCGTATTCATGGGATATCTAGCCCGTCTTTTCTGCTGGTAGCACAAAGGTATGGACAGAAATGCTAAACTTCTACAAAGATCCACACTTCATAAGAGAAGTAACACTTTTGCAGGGCTTTGACCTTCTCAAAAGATATTTTAGAGCACTTTTCAAGTTTTTTCACAGTTTGTAGGAATTCTTCTATCTCCAGTTTGCAGCTTTGGCCATTTCGGTGACACACCGCAGTACCTGAAGTGATGCCTGTCACTTGTATGTATCATCATATTCACTATACTCCACCTAACAGACACAGTTCTGTTGTTCCACATGGAGTATCTGTTAGGAATACCTCTATATTGTATTTGTTTGGGATACGTATTATTTATTCTGATTCACATGAATGACAAGGTGAGACTATAGTACTTTTTCAACCTCTTTGATTTGAATTTTTCATCTCTTCATCCGACAAACTGCCTTTTATTCTTTCTCATAAATTCTGTAGATAGAAGTTTTGTTGTTTGTTTGCCTTCTGGAATTTCAGCTTACTGAATGTCTTTTGAAATCTCAACAAATATTTTGTGGTAATTAACTCAGTTTCTTCTTGGTGGAGTAAGGAAGATTTAAGGTATCTATCAGAAAATGCGTCTTTACGGTAGATATCACTATCAAGTGACGCGATATTGTTTTTTCTGGACCCACATTTTGATAAAAGAGGAGATTTGGGTGTTGATTCTAATTTGTGAATGAATTTGATGTACTCGAATAGTTTTTCTGTCTCTTGTTTTGGTTATTACATAGGTGTCATCTACAGACCTCCAGCAAACTCTTGGTTTTGAATCGCATTGGCTAAATAGGTCTGATTCAAACTAATACGTCTGTAAATCAGCTACAGTAGGTCAAATAAGTGAGGTCATTGCTAATCTACTGGTTTTACGGTAAAGATTTCTTAGCAAGTTGAGAAACTCTTAAGTCAAACATACATTACATCCAAAGGATAAGGAAGTGTCAGGGGCCGATATATATTTGACATTTTGTATGCACTCACCAATGGAATGTTGGTATGTAGGGAAACATCACTGAAGTCAGTTCGTTTCCATTAGCTCTCCCTTAGCTCTTTTCATAAAGACTGAGAAATAAGTGGGCTGAATGCCGTGCTGTTTTATTAAAGTCACCAGTTACTTTTTTCAAATAAGGTATTGACTTATCTTCTGCGTATTTTCTTTATCGACTGCTACGTTTCGTGCGTATACCCTTGTTTGTACTGTTTCTTGTAGTAGTAATATATGTCCATATAGTTATTTGAAAAGAAGAGATTGGTTTACTTTTATTTTAGTGTGATGTTGCTTGTATGCTCTTACTTCTCTTTTTGTGACGAACTAACTGTTTTCTACAGCGTCCAAATCGTTTGTCTGAATGGTACAGAATACTTGATAACAAACTGTAGGGCCCTATTACACTATTATCTGTTTCCTTGCCATAACAATGATTTTAAGATCTTAAGTTCACAGTCTCCTAACTGATTTCCTACGATTCCCTACGATATCCTCATCTTCTGGTAAGCAACTAGATTTACCGTCGGTGGAAAAAGGGTTGAGCAAGCAAGTAAGTGCTCTGAGAGCCTTTTGTATCTATGCTGAGACTTTGTCAGCTAAATACTCCAGAAAGTGGTTTATCAAACCAGGGATAGAAAGAGATCACAAATTTGCCTTGAACCCATTATTTGGAAAATAAGTAGTACATTTCATTGTAATGGTGAATTAATTCCTTGACTTCACTCTTTCAAAATGGTTTAGACTTCAAAGCGATTCATATACAGACATTTCCAACAAACGCTTTCTGAGTAAAGCGAAAGCAAAGGGATAAAAACATTGAAGTATAACACAAAATATTTGTTCATTTTGTCATTTGTTCTTATAAAGTCTTCCGGAATCGCACATAAAATGCACCATACACAAATAATTTAGTTAAAATATTATGCCTACTACCAAGTAGTTTGTACGTTTATATAGCAACAGTCCCTCAAAAACCAACCAACAAAGCAACATGAATTAGTCACATTTTTCGAACACACGGACTGACCATGTATATACATCAAGGTCACTGGCGGCGGCAACACTTAAATGTCTATCATCTAATATCCAATATCTTTTACCGAGCTAGTGTAAACCAATTGATTTCTTCGCGCTGGCTCCTAGGTCTTGCGGAACGGTTCCAGGTCTTTGGTGGATTCCAATGCAGTAGGTCTACCCACTCGACTGCTGTAGCTCTAGTTAGCCCAACTGGCGGTTGGGTGTTGGTTAGATTTGTAGGGAGTGTTGTTTGTTTGCTTGCTTTTTCTTCCGGGGACTGTGGTGCAGATGGGTTCCTCAAATGGCGCTCCAGCAGACAATTGGTCGGACTGGTTGTAATAAGAGGATGAAAAACGTGAGATGAAAAACGGAGAAATCAAGGGAGAAAAAGTGCAGAAAGAGACAATATAGAAAAAGAAAAAAGGGAGAACAGTAATATGTATAAAAGATTTGGAAGAAGGAAACGGCACGGAAAAACAAAACATTGGTAGGTTCGTAGGGAATAGGTGATAGGCAGAGCTTTTGTTAAAGTTTGAGGGCGTAAGGTCAGAAGGAAGAATAATAAATAACATGATAGGAAGAATGGGAATATAGTGATCCTTTTAGTAGGAGACGGCAGCTGGAGGGGACGTCTACAGGAAGGTATAAGGCTGAGCCAAGTTCTCGGTGATAGCGGTTTTACAAAGTGTTCAGTAACGGTTAGTCGTACAGAGTTAGTAAGTTGTGTTAGCCTAATCCACAGCCCAGTTGGAAGAGCACAAACCCTGCGTCGCTGAGTAACTGTCCAACCTCTTCTTGGAGCTGCCAACAGACGCAGCAGTAGCAATCTCGGCAGGCAATGCTTTCCAGTGACCGCAAACTCGAGACTCCCACCACAAATGAGAAAATCCAAAATTTGTTTCGTGAGCTTGCACAAACTTACTAATTTCGTGGCACACACTTCTCGGTCGTTCTAAACCATTCCTAGTCTTCTCCAATTTACGACTCAATGGACTCAGTCAAGAGAGTGATTTACCTCCAGTAAACGTGATGGACGTTTAGGTTTCATGCAGCCTCAAATGGTTATTGTCAGGATCCAAGGAGATTTCACTTAACTATATGCCGCGCCTAGAACCAATAAACCATTGTTCCCTACATCTGAGACTTAAGGCATGAAGGCGAAGAAGTAAAAAATAAGCAAATGAGAATAAATAAAAACCAGGTTCTTAAAGCACTAGTCTACAGGCACACATTGCGACCTCAACTGAGCGTCAATCTTTTTTTGAGATAACTCCAATGAACTGGCTCAAACATTACCACTGCAGAGTATTTCAAGCCATGACAACTGTCAGGGTGTAAATGCTCGGCGTAATTCCTCCTGCAGCGTCACACACTCCCCCAAAATCAATAACCTAGGGTTAAACGGCATTCAGCATTGATGCCGACCTTGATAGTTTAACTGGACTCGCTGGGCTGGAGGCATCCGGTCATGCATCCTCGCCATTTGGCACGCTGTCATGTTACGTTGCATTGCTGGTATTCGACTATAGCCAGTTAGTTGGAAAGCACTGGTATTTTGGCACAACCACCCGAACACACTATTCCATCTGACCACGCTATTGCTTTCTTCCTTGGTCTAGTATTCGTGGGTACATAACGAGTTCCAATAACTAGTGTTTGGGCTCTGCGTCTGTCAAGTTCGCCCAAGGACAATTCCTGAATTCGTTAGCCCGATGTGATCACATATCCCCACCAATAATAAATATTGCCTTCATTTTGATAGCCATTATATATCCACACACAACTCTTTCTCATGTCCGACCACACTCCCAAGCTTATTCGTATTAAGCCGACTACGAACACGATCCAACTCGTGCCATATTGGCCAGACAATGCAGAAACATGGTTTCTGTATGTCGGGGCCGATTTTCGAGAACAGGGCGTCTCAGACCCTCATTCTCGATTTCCCGCCGCCATACGTTCACTACCGCAAGAAATAAACAGGTATGTTACAGCACACATGTTTAGTTCCAAAGTAAGTGGTCCTTATGCATTTCTCAAGGCCGCACTCTCGGAGAAAAGCGATCTCACAGATCGCCAGAGCCCAGACTTACTACTCCGTGGCATCGAGCTAGGCAGCAACTCAGCTACTGAAGTCCGCACGCATGCGAGAAGTTATGGGGACACGAACATTCGACAATGGCCCCTCCCGAGAACTATTTCTCTCAAAACTACCACAACCGGTGCAAACCGTGTTGGTGACACTTCATTCAGTCCCACTCGATGACGTGGCGGCCTCAGCAGGTAAAATACTGGAGATTTCTAGCAGACCCATCTTCAACGTATATTCTGTCTGCGACAAACCAGAGCGCCAGGATTCAGAGGTGACCAAGCTGTGCAACTCTGTTGAGCAGTTGCTACGATCTCGAAGTACTAGTTCACGTAGAACTCCACAGAAACGCGTCTTAGTGCATCGCAGCAACTCGCGTGGTTGCCCCGAAACTAAACGTAATAGGGTGGAAAACCCAAAATGCTGCTGGTTTCATAATGCTTACGGAGACGAAGCCAAAAAATGCCGGAAACCATGCGGTTTTAACAGGGAGAAACTCGGGAAACGGCCATGCCGGCACGTGTTCACGGCAACCGTAGCCGGCGGAAACAGCCGTTTGCTCCACGCCACCGACATAAAAACGATAGTTCGCTGCCTCGTCGACACCGGCGCAGAAGTTAGCGTCCTTCCCGCATCAACAGAGGAGCGTCATCATGACCCACCCTTTAATCTCCAAGCGGCCAACGGCAACGCAATCGTGACGTTTGGGAGACGGTATGCCTACCTCAACTTAGGTTTACGTAAACCTACTCACTGTATTTT